AAATAAAATAAAATAAAGTTATATATATTAATAAAACTTATGCAATCTGCACTCTCGAAATGAAAGTACAAAGACTGCCACCTGGTGGTGCACAGAGAAAACTTATTGATATGAACTTTTTAGATCGCTTAGTACAAATTGTGTATAATAAACATGCAGAATATGTGACTTTTTTTAAAAGCAATAATACATTTATGCAGTCATGAACATGTTTTACCAATATCCAAATGCTTTTGTAAACAACCAGTTATTCTTTACACCGATTAAAAAAACGGCTACTATAATAAAGAAAATCTTTTCTAAATGTAGAACTAAATACATTGATTTGCATTGAAATACATGATGAATACTCTTGACACATGAAAGAATAAAGCCTGCCGCTCACAACAAATGTTGAAGGTTATTGCATGTCATATTTAACAAACCCTTTACTGCTAATTTAATGTAATTTTGCTCATTTGAATAATTGAATATTAATCAGATGATGTCATTACGCAGCTGTGCCGTCAGCCAATCGTTGCATTGCTGATCATGATTTCGAGAATCGACAGATCTGTCCTTCACAACACACGCAGCGATCTCAGATCAGTTTATCCAGACATTTTAATCTGATTCGCGAACTTGTTTGAAGAACCAAATTAGTGAGAGATCAGTTATCAAGATTAACAGATCCAGGATCTGCCAAATCATCTTAGATCATTTAAGCGAGGTACGAAGAACAGACCCTGGGGCTCCTTCCTAAGACTCACCACTTGTAAACACTTACTCCATATTGCACGCGGCTCTCAGCACCACCCACACTCTTCACCGATATCAAGCAAACCAATCACAGAAAGAACAGTCAATCCCCAGAAAACCGTCAATAAGAGCTTTTCAAACAATCTGTAATAAACTGTATTCATATTGCATAATTTAATATCGCAGAAAAATAAAATTAACCCAATATTACTACTACACTGGCCACCTCTGGACAGTCAAAAACATCAATAGGGAGAGTACAAGCTTATCCATTTGTGAAATGTCAGAGCGGATCTTATGATGTGCACACATACGATGCATTTCAGGCCTGGATCACAGCTTCCATGCGAAGTAATGATTCATTTGGGTTTGAGACAGATGGAGAGAGTGGGAGAACGAGGGAGCGTGTGAAAGGAAATGTAGGAAAGGTTATCGAGGGTGTAAAGAAGAAAGAGGCTGTAGGAAGAAGAAAGTGTGTGTGGGCAGCAGGCGGAGAGATGAAAGAGTTTCTGCGGGATTCTCAGGCCTGATACACGAGCGGACGAACGACATACAGAACACACTAATCACAGAGGGAGTGAGAGACAGAGAGAGAGTTGCTGGTGAAAGAGTAGTGAACGAAATAGAAAACATACATGATTTATGGCCCGTTTCCACTGAGTGGTATGGTTCGGTTCGGTATGCTTTTATGGCTGCGTCCGCTGTCAAAAGGTACCAAAAAGCAAACCACTTTTCGGTACTCTTTCGAAAGGATACCTAGCACAACAACAGGGTGCCAAAACGCGCAGCCAGACGTGCAGCTGAATGCTATTGGTTTACAGAGATACGACACTAGCTCGTGCACAAGCCAGGAGAATGAAAACAAAGAAACAGTCATTTTTAAATACACAGCAGAGACATTATATACATATAATAACAAGCAATGGTCAACCTGAGCTAAAACAAACCTTGTCGTTTTCTTGATGAACAGCCACAAAGCTAAGAAGAAGAGCAAAATCTACCCTGTGCCCTGTAGGCAGTCTAATGGCTCGCTTCCACCGAGTGGTACAGTACAGTACGGTTCGGGTCGGTACGGGTCACCTTTATCAAGCTTGCGTTTCCACAACCAAGGGTACACTTTTGGTGGGCGTGGTGTACGACAGAGTTTCAGTTGACGTCATTCTCACTCGAATAAATGTCAACAGTAAAGCCGTACAGAAACATCTGCTCCGAGCTCCTCATGAGTGTTAGAGCTCCTCACGCTTCCTATAATGGTGCGTTCTGCCACCCTGCGAAGGAAACTCATTTCGGCCGCTTGTCTCTGAGATCTTGTCCTTTTGGTCATGACCCAAAGCTCATGACCATAGGTGAGAGCAGGAATGTAAATTGATTGGTAAATCGAGAGCTTTGCATTGCTCAGCTCCTTCTTTACCACAACGGACCTATACATCAACCGCATTGCTGCTGCCACTGCACCGATCCGCCTGTCAATCTCACGCTCCATCCTTCCCTCACTCATGAACAAAACCCCAAGATACTTAAACTCCTCCACCTGGGATAAAGACTTGGAGATGGCAAACCACCTTTTTCCGGTGGAGCACCATGGCCTTGGAGGTGCTGATTCCCACATAGCACAAGAATGCAAATTGGGATGCAAGCAACAGAATCTCTCGGTCCCTACATGATGATAAACAAAAACAAAAAGTGGGGGACAGGACATTAACGCCCCTGCATATACTACTACCATGATAATAACATTAATCCTTCAGTATACTCTGCAGCCCTACTGCCCTCTCTTGCTTTCTGGTTCTTTGTGCCACCAAAGAACATGCCATCTGTATCCCGAACAGCACCTGCAGCTTTGTGTCAGACACAATAATCCATCATCCTTAAAGAGTCAAACGTCTTTCTCAGAACAGAATGGAGTTTTCAGCAGGCACTGAATGAGAGCAACAGCTTTGGACAGCACTAATGATACAGCGCTGCATTGGCAGGGCTGATTTATCACCGATTTACAGACGATTGGAGGTTATCACATCAGCTGTTCAACACACCGGCTCCGCAAATTAACACAGGCGCTCGATTTCTGCCAACTGAGAAATCTAGCAGCAGCCAATGAATAGGAAACATCCATGTTTGAGTGCACGTTATGGGAATATATATGTGTAGCATTGCAGCTAACATTACTAAGTGTGTTTTGTATATTGGCACAGAGTAATGCATGCTTTTCTTACTTATATATATATGCACCCGTGTCCTATATGACGATCAACCGGTTGATTACAGTCGAGCTTACAAAATAAGACCACTTCTGACCAATAAATATCCCTCCAAACCAAGCTTTAATTACATCAAATATTGTCGTTTTCAGAAATTACACCTTAAGATTTAGTTTTTTTTCCTGTCAATCGAGTACAAGTAAAATAAACTCATTTTATTTTATCTTCAATTCATCTTATTTCAACCTATTTAGCTTATTTTAAGATTTTTTGCTTATTTTAATGATTCCTTTTGACTTGTTACATCTATTTTTTCCTTGTATAGAAAATGTTTCTTGATTAAGCCATTTATTTTAGAAATAATGCAGAGATATCCACAGAAAATGATAAAATTAGATTTATAAACTGCTCAAATAAACTCCTGTTTTACACACAATTGTCAATCACACCTCACAACAACTATAACAAAAACAAATGATAATAATGCAACAACTTATGGTTTCATATTCAACAACAAAAACGCAATTGAACTCCATCAAATATTTCATAACACACACACATATATGCAAAGTATCATGACATCAACGTCCCATATAATGATCAACCGATTAATTCCAGTCAAAAACTTACAAAATAAGAGCACTTCTGACCAATAAACACCAAATATCCCACCAAACCAAGCTTTAATTAAATCAATGATTGTCGTTTTCAGAAATGACACCTCAAAATTTAGTTTTTTTCCCTGTCAATGAAGTACAAGTAAAATAAAATCATACAATTTCATCTTCATTTCATCTTATTTCAACCTATTTAGCTTATTTTAAGATTATTTCGCTTAATTTTAAGGATTCCTCTTGACTTGTTATATTTATTTTTGTCCTTGTCTTGAAAATGTTTCTCGATTAAGCCATTTATTTTAGAAATAATGCAGAGATAAACACAGAAATGACAAAATTAGATTTATAGACTGCTCAAATAAACTCTTGTTTAACAATTGTCAATCACACCTCACAACAACTATAACAAAAACAAATGATAATAATACAATAACTTATGGTTTCATATTCAACAACAAAACGCAATTGAACTCCATCAAATATTTCATAACACACACATATATGCAAAGTATCATGACCTTAATGTCCTATATGATGATCAACCGATTGATTCCAGTCAAGAACTTAGTAAATAAGAGCACTTCTGACCAATAAACACCAAATATCCCACCAAACCAAGCTTTAATTAAATCAATAATTGTCGTTTTCAGAAATGACACCTCAAAATTTTGTTTTTTTTTCGCTGTCAATGAAGTACAAGTAAAATAAAATTATACAATTTTATCTTCATTTCATCTTATTTCAAACTATTTAGCTTATTTTAAGATTTTTAGCTTATTTTAAGGATTCCTTTTGACTTGTTATATCTATTTTTGTCCTTGTCTAGAAAATGTTTCTCGATTAAGCCATTTATTTTAGAAACAATGCAGAGATATACACAGAAAATGATACAATTAGATTTATAAACTGCTCAAATAAACTCCTGTTTAACACACAATTGCCAATCACACCTCACAACAACTATAACAAAAACAGATCATAATAATGCAACAACTTATGGTTTCATATTCAAGAAAAAAAAATGCAATTGAACTCCATTAAATATTTCATAACACACACACACATATGCAAAGTGTCATGACCTCAACGTCCTATATGATGATCAACTGGTTGATTCCAGCCAAGAACTTACAAAATAAGAGCACTTCTGACAATTAAAAACCCTTAAACACCAAATATCCCACGCTATATTTTGAGCATTTAAAGGTCGCCTGTCCGGTGTCCTTTAGGACGAACAATCTCAGGCCACACACACACACACATCATACATACACACATCTCGTGCAAATCAACACTTGATCCAGCATGTGTTTGAGCATGACATTCCCCAGAGACTGACCGCAATGTTCCTGCATGCACCAATGCAACAGTATGTCAGTGCATGAGGACATAAGCTGCATGCAAAAAAGCCCAGCAGACGCGCACTGAAACTAAAAAAAACTCTCACCGGTGGATGTGCATGGAGGAATGCGGCTCTTCTGCTGCTGCTGTTACTGCAGTCCGCATGCACTCAGCATCTTCATCATCTTCATCATCATCTTCATCAGGAGGCTCTCTCTGGGTTTGTCTGACCAGAACCGATGGCGGTGCTGATGCGGTAAGCTCCTCGGCTCGGTCTTGCATTCGTGTTTTATTGGAGAAATGAGAAGGACGGCAGGGAACAGAGTGTGTCTCTAACTAATAGAGTCAGACATCAGCCCCGCCGGTGTGAAAGCATGGGCTGTGTTTCAATCACTGCCTTACACACTACACTCGTACTACTTACGGGTGCACTGCGAGCGCTGAGTGGGTTGTGTTGCTTGTATGAGTGCAGTTCTGTCGCCAGAGGACGCACGGAGGCTCATTTAGGTTAATGTGTTCAGACTGGTCATACATTAGGCAGGTATGAATAATAGTAATAATAATAATAATAATAATAATAATAATATTTTATTATTATTATTATTATTATTATTATTATTATTATTGTTGTTGTTGTTAATGTTGTTATTATTATTATTATTATTATTATTAATATCATTATTATTTTTATTATTATTGTTATAATAATAATAATAACAGCCTAAATAATACATAAAATGTTTTAATAATACCAGCCTAAATATTACCCAAATTTCCTTGCTTTGTTAAACATTATTTGGGAAATATTTAAAACACAAATAATTAAAAGGGGGCTAATAATACATTAGGCAGGTATAAATAATAATAATAAAAATAATAATAATAATAATACATAATAACAGCCTAAATAATAATAATAATAATAATAATAATAATAATAATAATAATAGCCTAAATAATAATAACAACAATAATAATAATAATAATAATAAACAATCGCCTAAATAATAATAATATTAGTCCAATAATAATAATAATAATAATAATAATAATAATAAGTATTATTATTATTATTATTATAAATAATAATAATAATAAAACCCTAAATAATACATAAAATGTATTAATAATACCAGCCTAAATAATACCCAAATTTCCTTGCTCTGTTAAATATAATTTGGGAAATATTTGCAAAAAGAAAAAAAAATTAAAGGGGAGGGTAATAATACAGTAGGCAGGTATAAATAATACTACTACTACTACTAATAATAATAATAATAAGAAGAAGAAGAAGAAGAAGAAGAAGAAGAAGAAGAAGAAGAAGAATTATTATTATTCTTATAATTATTAATAAAACAACAACAACCACAATAATAATAATAAACTATGCCGTGTTGATGTGAGTATCTGCAGTATCCCTTCTAGACTTTACTATTTCCATATGTAGTATGCAGTGTGCAGTGCGTTATTAGCGTTCCATTCGGGATCCAGTGCGCATGCTCAGAGCTCGCGTGCTGAAATTACTGACAGGTGTGACGAGTTTTTCAGGTCGAGTCTCTGAAGGCAAAAACAAACGCTGTCAATAAGTGAGTCAAAGAACATAAAGGGCAAATACATGTTTAGAGCTGTCATCACGCCTTAAGCGATTTATCACTAAGCTGCTGTTTAAAGAGAAATACACACCGTGTTTTCATATCTGTGACGTGCATATTAGCATACTTAAACGACTATCATATCTATGGTAGCGGCTATACATAATATGTCAAAGTCAGCTTTATTGTCGATTCAACCACATGTACAGGATATGCAGAGCATCGAAATTGCGTTACTGTCAGATCTTAAGTGCATAACAGCAATAATAAATAATAAAAATAATAATAAATTCAATTATATAGATCTAATCTATAAATATGATATCTTGTAAATATGATAAAGTGACTGTCTTAGGCGAACACAGAAATAAACACCACATTTACAGGTGGATTTAACTATACTTTTAGTTTATAACATTTGTGCCACTCGTTAAAAAAAAAAAAGAATAGCAATAATTTAAGCTACAATTTGAAATTAATCCTTAAAAATATGCATTAATCTTGTTTTTATATAACAGTTAATTATTTTAAAATTAATTTTAAAATCTATTTTAACTATTAATATTTAATTATACCTCATATTTATACAAAAAAATAAAGATATGAAACATTGAATTGTGAAATACATATTAGATGTAATGTTTATTTACCCTTCATATGTAATCTTAATCCAATTTTACAGGTGTATTTGTCATTTCTATTCGTTTCTTTTCAATGGGGAAGGAAAGAAAAGAATAACACTATAATAAATTTATTTAAAAAAAAGGTTTACTGTTCTGCTTATGATAATTGTATAATTATTTAAATAATGGTAATTTACATATTTATTTTTAATAATCAAATATTGTAAATGTATTTTCATTTATATGTGTTTATTTTCATCAGAGGATTTTTTTCATCTGTTTAACAGAGCAAGGAAATTTCCACAGTATGTCTGATAACATTTTTTTTCTTCTGGAGAAAGTCTAAATTGTTTTATTTCGGCTAGAAAAAAAGGCATTTAAAAAAAATAAATTAAAGGGTTTTTTAAGGACAAAATCCTTAGCCCCTTTAAGCTAGATTTTTTTTTTATAGCTATATTATAATTACCATAACCTGCCTAGTTAACCTAATTAACCTAGTTAAGCCTTTAAGTGTCACTTTAAGGTGTCCACTCTCAGAAATAAAGGTATACAAAAGCTGTCACTGGGGTGGTACCTTTTTAAAAGATACACTTTGGTACCTTAAAGGTCCACACTTGCACCTTCAATGTATATATATATATATATATATATATATATATATATATATATATATCAGTGCATAAAGGAAAAAAGTTTATCTTGTGGTACTTTTAAGGTATCATTGTGAACTTTTTAAGTACAAAAGTGTACTGTTTAGGTATACAAAAGTGCATTTTTAAAAGGGTACCACTACAGTGAGTTAATTCAGTTGATTAGGACACAACCTTTCCTTTAGTCATGTGGATTAGCAGTTATTTTAGTAATGAATATTAAAGGATTATCATGTTTTCTGCGTGTGAAATCAAGAGTAAACCTTTTTCAATGTCAAGCTAACCCCTATTAATGAAACTAAAACGAAACACTTCCCAAATTCATACTTTACAGAAACATACTTACGCCATAAACAATTGATATATGATCACTGTCATGACACAATGTCACTTTAAATAGATTAATTCAATGTTTTAACATAAAGTAACCATGCATCAACTAGATTTTTTAAGTCATGCAAACCTGTAAAACCTGTAAAGCTATTTTGTTTTAACTAATTTTTTTACATTGTCTCAATGCAATATCTGATCAAACTCCCAGTTGTACAAATAATAAAGCACGCATCTGAAACTACAGCGACATCTGCTGGTTAAATGCTTTAGAGGTCCTGTGAAAATTAAAGATATTTTAGACATTATAGAAGTATGTCAGTTTTAAGGATAATAATTATATGAAGGGATAGAGGTTAATGAAATACAACCTAATGGGTCATTTAATAAATATTATGAATAATACTCAGCATAATTACTGTTTTCACATTACTGTGAGGGTTGGGGTAGGGGTAGACATTAATACAATGTAGTTTGATGGGTAACTTAATAAATAATATGAATAATACTCTGTATAATTACTGTTTCTACATTGCTGTGAGGGTTGGGTTTGATTTGGGGTAAGGGTAGACATCAATAAAATACAGTTTAATGGGTAATTTAATAAATAATATGAATAATACTCAGTATAATTACTGTTTTTACATTACTGTGAGGATTAGGGTAGGGATAGACATTAGTAAAATACAGTTTAATGGGTTATTTAATAAATAATACTCTGTATTATTACTGTTTTTACATTGCTGTGAAGGTTGTGGTAGAGGTAGACGTTAATAAAATACAATTTAATGGGTAATTTAATAAATAATATGAAAAATACTCTGTATAATTACATTACTGTGAGGGTTGAGTTGATTTGGGGAAAGGGTAGACATTAATAAAATACAGTTTAATAAGTAATTTAATAAATAATATAAATAATACTCTGTATTATTACTGTTTTTACATTACTGTGAAGGTTGTGGTAGAGGTAGACGTTAATAAATTACAATTTAATGGGTAATTTAATAAATAATATGAACAATACTGTACACCTTTTAACAACAATCCACTTCCCTTTAAAGTTTACCATTGTACAATTTTAATACCACAAACTTACCAGTCATGATCCAAATGTTTTAAAGCATCATCTTGCATAAGACTTAATACCTTCTCAGCAATTTGCATCAAACATCGCATTTAATCATTTACAGTCAACCACACGCTTGCAGAATTATACAAAAGCAAAAATGCATGTGCAAAAAATAATATACATTCTGATATTGTTAAAATGATCATAATCACAAACAAATGATGCACCTCGAATTGTTTATAATAAAGCAGCAGATACAAAAGACCAGTGACATACAGAAAAGCACATTACTGTAATTGACACTTAACGCACAATATAAATATGCTTTAATGTGGTCAATTTTGCATGTTTATAACATTTTATCAACATAAGGAGCAAAACCAGGTTGATTGTAATATTTCTGTGCACTTATTTGCAGATAAAACATACACAATAGTCAACCAAGACTTAAATGATAGTCAAACTGAGGCTTCAAAGTGCATATGAGTCAATATATTCATATACAATTCATGTGTAAATGACAATCTACAGATGAAATCCTTAATATTACGATGACATTCCTCTCTCTTAAGTGAATGAGAATAAAATCAGCACTAAATTGACAGACTCATTTAATGAAAATCTGACGGTCCAGTAAAGCTGTACTGAAAAAAAGTGCAAATATTTCAGCATTTCATGAGTGCAAACCAATACAACATTTTGGTTCTTGCATGACAACGTAAAAAGCTGCTTTAATAAATAAGATATTTCCACCGATGTTCATATTGTTCAATGTATAATAGGACCAGAGCCAAATGATTGTATTCAAACCAAAGAGAGTCTCTTTTTAAATGCTATAATTCACTAAACCAGTCAAGCACTTGAATGAGCATTTGATGTTGTGTCTTCTGTGATGATGCATTGGTGTAAAAGTGTTTCAAAAGTCGACCTCCAGAGAATAAAAACACCTATGAGACGAAACAGAAATAACATTAACAAAGCGACATGAAATACTTTCCTAGCAATATTGTTTAAATAATCAAAATTTGACAGGAGGGCTAATCATTTTGACTTCAACTGTGTGTACTCTCACCGGCCACTTTATTAGGTACACCTGTTCAACGGTTCGTTAACGCAACTTTCTAATCGGCCAGTTCCATGGCAGTTCAAAGCGAGGATCAGAATGGGGAAGAAAGGTGATTTAAGTGACTTTGAAGGTGGCATGGTTGTTGTTGTCAGACGGGCTGGTCAGAGAATTTCAGAAACTGCTGATCTACTGGGATTTTCACTCACAACCATCTCTAGGGTTTACAGAGAATGGTCTGAAAAAGAGGAAATATCCAGTGAGCGGCAGTTCTGTGGGTGCTAATGCCCTGTTAATGCCAGAGGTCAGAGGAGAATGGCCAGACTGGTTCCAGCTGATAGAAAGGCAACAGTAACTCAAATAAGCACTCGTTACAACCGAGGTCTGCAGAAGAGCATCTCTGAACACACAACACATCCAACCTTGAGGCAGATGGGCTACAGCAGCAGAAGACCACACCGAGTGCCGCTCCTGTCAGCTAAGAACAGGAAACTGAGGCTACAATTCACACAGGCTCACCAAAACTGAACAATAGAAGATTGGAGAAATGTTGCCTGCTCTGATGAGTCTCCATTTCTGCTGCCACATTCGGATGGTCGGGTCAGAGTTTGGCATCAATAACATGAAAGAATGGATCCATCCTGCCTTGTATCAATGGTTTAGGCTGATGGTGGTGGTGTAATGGTGTTGGGGATATTTTCTTGCACACTTTGGGTCCATTAGTACCAATTGAGCATCGTGTCAACGACACAGCCAACCTGAGTATTGTTGCTGACCATGTCCATCCCTTTATGACCACAGTGTACCCATCTTCTGATGGCTACTTCCAGCAGGATAACACACCATGTCACAAAGCGTGAATCATCTCAGACTGGTTTCTTGAACCTGACAATGAGTTCACTGTACTCAAATGGCCTACACAGTCACCAGCTCTCAATCCAATAGAGCACCTTTGGGATGTGGTGGAAAGGAGATTGGCATCATGGATGTGCAGCCGACAAATCTGCAGCAACTGTGTGATGTTATCATTTCAAAATGGAGCAAAATCTCTGAGGAATATTTCCAGTACCTTGCTGAATCTCCGCCACGAAGGATTAAGGCAGTTCTGAAGGCAAAAGGGAGTCGAGTCCAGTACTAGTAAGGCGTACCTAATAAAGTGGCCGGTGAGTGTGTATTGTCATATTGCACAGCCCTTTACAAAATATTTTCATTTGCAAATCATTTCTGGTAACTAACCTCTTACGGACTTCAGAAGGGTCTGTAGTGTTTGTGTCTGTGTGTGTTAAATCTGCAGGTTAATGAAGGGGGCGAATCCCACCACGTCCTGCAGCAGCACCAGCGCCCTCTGCAGGGGAGGCTCCACATCAATCTCTACGTTCCTCCGCCGCAGAACACCCAGACTCGACTCCGTCACATTGTGACAGTGGTTGACTTTTAGGGACTGCAGTTTGGGGCAGTACTCCGCTAGCGTCCTGAATACACAAATAAACAGTTAGCCAAAATCTTGCTTCATAGTAAATACTTCTACTTGAAAGCTCCTCGGGCACCGTCGCCTCACAGCAAGAAGGTTGCTGGTTCGAGTCCCGGCTGGGTCAGCTGGCATTTCTGTGTGGAGTTTGCATGTTCTCCCTGTGTTGGCGTGGGTTTCCTCCAGGTGCTCTGGTTTCCTCCACAGTCCAAACACATGCGCTATTGGTGAATTGAATAATAAAAAGGCGCTAAAGTGCTAACCACTGAGCCACCATGTTGCCCCCCAGCACACACAACACTATTAGCTAATCTCAGTCAAGTAGAATCTGAATAATTCAATATTCCTCGCAAATAATTTTGGTCTTCCAATTCACACACCCACCTGATGGCTTCATTCCTGACCCTCAGACAGCCGGTGAGGTCCAGTCTCTCCATCTCTCTGCATTTCTTGGCCACCTCCTCCACCGCGGTATCCGTGATGTTGGCGTTCACAGCCACCGACAGCGCCCGCAGCTCCGGACACTTCCCTGCCAGGTAGCAGACGGCCGGGTCCTTGAGCTGGCGGCAGGCGGTGAGGTCCAGCGAGCGCAGCATCGGGCAGTGATCCGCCAGACTGCGCAGCGCCAGACTGTCCACCCACTCGCAGTGCGCCAGGCTGAGGTGCTGCAGCCGCGGGCAGCTCAGAGACACGGCCACCAGCGCACGCCGGCTCAGCTGAGCGCAGCCACGGAGGTCCACATGCTGCAGCTGCTGGTTCTGGCCAATCACAGGCAGCAGATCTGTGTCTGTGATCCAATCAGAGCAGTTGGTGACGCTGAGGTGCTGAAGGACCTGGTTGTGGCGGAGGATGGAGCAGAAGGCTTCACGGGGAATGTGAGGTCCCGTCTGAGAAGAAATATAATTTATTTTATGTTAATTAATTAATTTATTTAAATTGTATTTATTTATTCAATTTTAATTAATCTTATTTATTTATTTAAATTTTATTTAGTCCATTATTCATTTTTCTTTCAGCTTAGTCCCTCTATTAATCTGGGGTTGCCACAGCGGAATGAACCGCCAACTAATCCAGCATATGTTTTACGCAGCGGATGTTCCTCCAGCTGCAGCCCATCACTGGGAAACAACCATACACACTCATTTAAACACATACATACACTACAGACAATTTAGCTTACCCAATTCACCTGTACTGCATGTGTTTGGACTTTGGGGAAAACCAGAGCAGCCGGAGGAAACCCACGCCAACACAGGGAGAACATGCAAACTTCACATAGGAATGCCAACTGACCCAGCCGAGGCTCAAACCAGTGCTTCTTTCCTTTATTTAATAAAATTTCTATTATTTATTTATTTATTTATTTATTTACATTTGTATTATTTATTTAATTTTACTTATTTATTATAATTGTATTATTTTATTAAATTATTTATTTAATTTTATTTATTTATTCAAATTTTATCTATTAATTGAATTCATTTAAATAATATTGTTATTTATTTATTTCAATTGTATTAATTTAATTACATTTCTATTATTTATTTAATTTTGTTGATTTAAATTATTTATTTCTTAAATTTGTATTTATTTATTTAAATTAACTCCTATTATTTACTTAATTTTATTTATTTATTTTGTTTAATCTTAATTATTTATTCAATTGCATTTAAATATTTTATTTAATTATTTTATTTTAATTCAAATTTTCTTTATTATTTAATAAAATGTATACTATTTATTTAATTTAATTTAATTATTTTATTTGTTTATTTAATTTAATTTAATTTATTTATTCAAATTATGTTTATTTATTTTGTTTATATTTATTTAAACACTGTTTTAAATCAGCTTTACTAACTTATTAATGTTCTTAACCTTTTAATTGTAAGTGAAAATAAATACAAATAAATTTCCTTTATCAATAAGTCCTCATATTAGTATTATTTCTGAAGAATCATGTGACACTAAAAACTGAAATAATAAAAATGCAGCTTTGAATCATGAGAATAAATTTTTAAATATATTAAAATTCACCATATTATTGTCTTTACTTGATTTTTGATTCAACACATTAAAAAATAATGAGTTTAAAGGAGTTCTTTCAAGAATATAAAATAAAAATTATAAAAACAGCAACAATAATAATAATAATAAAGAAGAAGAAAAAACAATAATAATAATAATTATAACATATTTAAATCTTCAAACTGGTAATACTGTCGACTGAGAGAGCAGCAAGAAAGTACAGCAATGCATCAAGGGAGTGAGTGCTTGAGATGGACAAACAAACAGAAAATTATATCAGAAACAGATTGTTATGTTGTGAGTGTTGTGATGGGTCACCTGTGCTGGGTCGAAGGTGCGGCAGTTGTCCAGATACACCTGAATGAGTGAGCGGAAACTCTTACTGACCCGCTGAAGGCTCACTAGCAGACGCAGGGGTAGATGACAGAACACATGACTCACTAACACATCCTCCCACGGCAGATCCAGCAGCTCACACCTAACACACACACACACACATTTTTGTGAAAAGCACTATAAAAATAAGCTTAAAGTGAATTGAATAGGCTTGACACACACAAGTTATTGTAAAAAGCACTATACAAGTAAGCTTGACCTTAATTAATTAAGCTTGACACACTTACTTTTTTTGTGAAAAATGCTATACAAATAACCTTTAATTAAATATTGACACACACAAATGCATACACGCATATATATACACACACACACACACACACACACACATACATATACATATACTAAACTACCTGACAAAATATTTGTCATGGATCCCAATTTTAAGAGCAACTAATAACTTGACATCTAGTCGATTCATTATTTGGAAAAGTGGCAGAAGGTGGATTTTTCTGATGAATCATCTGTTGAACTGCATCCCAATCATCACAAATACTTCAGAAGACCTACTAGAACCCGCATGAAGCCACGATTCTCACAGAAAAGTTTGCTGAAGGATGACGGTGCCAATAGACTAGTGTTTAAGTGCACTGACATATAGCTCCAAGTTGCTCACTGTGACCCGAGTTTGATTCCCAGCTCGAGGTCCTTTGCCGACCCATCCACCCTCTCTCTGCACCCAAAACCTTCCTGTCTTTAACATTTACTGTCCATTACAAATTAAAGGTGAAAAAACCCTAAAAAAAATTATTTTAAAAAGTTGCTGAAGGAAAAGTCATGGTTTGGAGTTACATTCAGTATGGGGGTGTGCGAGAGATCTGCAGAGTGGATGACAACATCAACAGCCTGAGATATCAAGACATTTGTGCTGCCCCTTACATTACAAACCACAGGAGAGGGACAATTCTCCAGCTCCTTCTCATACTTCAGCCTCCACATCAAAGCTCCTGAAGGCAAATAAGGTTAAGGTGCTTCAGGATTGGCCAGCCCAGTCACCATAATAAACATTATTGAGCATGACTGGGGTAAGATGGAGGAGCCATTAAGAATGAATCTAAAGAGTCTTGATGAACTCTGGGGGTCCTGCACAAATGCTTTCTTTGCCATTCCAGATGACTTTATTGATCAGTGATTTGAGTCATGTCAGAGATGTATGGATGCAGTCCTCCAAGCTCATGATGTAGTCGGACACAATATTCATTCTGTCTCCACTGCAGCAGGACTTTATATTCTATACTGTGCATTGTTTCTGTTAAGTGATGAGACTTTTGTCTAAGCAAAGTCAGACTTTACTGTCCTAATGAAATCATTCAAAATCAGGGCATGATCATATTTTATTGTGGTCAAATAAATGTAATCTAGAGGCCTTTGCCTTTCATATAAGCCACTTCTGACACTAAATGACCAACAAGAAGTCAACTTATATTTATTATTTGTTGTTCTTAAAACTTGGATAGGCAACAAGACTTCTATCAGGTAAAAAACAAACACACATATACCTACAGTATACAGACACAGTCTGGTGCAGACACATATACACACATACACATGCACAGACAGACACACTCTCTGTTTTCAGCACTAAATTGATTTTATTTATCAAGACTAGAGTGATATGTTTATATTTATGTACATTTATGTTCATTTTTCAAGTGTAATTATAGTAGTTTGGTGTTATAGTAATCTGTGGCACAGCAGGTAACACGTTCGCCTCACAGCAAGAAAGTCGCTGGTTTGAGCCTCGGCTGGGTCAGCTGTGCATTTTTGACAACTGATGGAGGTTAAAAACGTAACGTGAACGTATACATATGCATCATGCTTGGTAAATATAATGCATAAACATATTAGCGATTAAATATTAAATGGATGCAACACGCATATAATAGCAACACTAAATGTATATTAGACATACTGTTGTAAACAATAAAGTAAAATATAGTCATTTAAGTCAGAGATTACAGTAGCACAGAGCTTTCCAGAAGAGCCTCACACAAGGAGCATCGCAAAAGCTCTCTGTAATCAACATGCATGCATAGAAACTATAAATTAGTGCTTATAATATTAATAGAAGCGGAAGAATGAAGCCCCTTATGTTGTCTTGCTCTTTGTTTGCATGCATTGACTGCGTTATGCTTATTATCAAGCTGCTAGTGTGTAATAATGCTTGCAAGCCAAGAGAAGCTTCTGAACCCGTGCACATATGACAGGATCTCTCTTTATGAAATATACCTGTGGCTTTGCACGCGCTCGTCAGGTTTTTGATCCATGCTGACACTGTCCTGTGGTCCGTGTACATTATTATTTATCATGACTGACAAACAGCTGACCGGCTCATCCGGGCTCTGGTGCGGAGACTCGCTTCCGCCATCTGCCGACCTGGATGCGGAAGCGAGAGAAGTTGTTGCCTGCCAGAAGGGATACAGCTTCGGGCGGAAGTTAACGAGAATTATTTATATTATTACATTACCCATTAATGGCATTTTAATAAACTCTACCCCATCATAACCCTTACAGTAATTTAAAAAGAGCAATTATGTTGAGTATGATTCATGTTGTTTCTTAAATTATCCAATAAATTGTATTTCATTAATGCCTACGCCAACATCAGCCCTAAAGCTATCATTCACAGTAACGTAAAATGTTGTTTATCACAACATTATACTATATTGATGTACGTATCCGCAGCTGTGACTCTCTAGACTTTACCAATGAGCAAAAATAGTGTTGTTGTCACCTACTGCGCCTTAAGCCTAGGCTGGTTGGCTGGTTTTAGCTGGACAACCAGGCTGGTTTTAGAGGAGTTCTCTTTCATCATCTCGTGTTCGAGATCCACCTATGGGAAGGCATCGGTGCCTGACCTCTGCAGAAGCATCCAATTGCACCAAGTCTGGCTTGACAGACAGAAGCGCGTGCCCAATGGCAGGTAAAGAACCGCCCCTTTACCTGTGCGCATAAATCATTCTGCACGCGCTGCTATTCCTCAGTTAACATTCGCTTCTCGCTGACTCTGCAACTCTACAGCTCGGTTGGATTACTGCTGCTCATTTACGTGTCTTCAGGAGGACATATCTTTCGATCAGCCTCCACCAGACGTGACAGTCTGTTATCCGACCAGGTTAGTTGTGGTTTTCGCATCCCGAGCTGCCCACGCTCCTCTTACACCTGTCCCTGTCCACGGCTGCCCGCCTCGGATATGTCACTTTCTAAATCTGCCGCTTCTCCCGAGCACTCATCACGGGCCTGCCCGGCCGCGTGTGGCGCGCTTATTGCTGCAAAGGACCCACACCCCTTCTGTGTTGTCTGCTTGGGCCTCAAGCACGCTCAAGAAGCGTTGGAAACCCCGGAGAATTGCAGCCATTGTCTGAAATTACCGAAAAAGCTTCTGCGGCGTCGTATGAAAGTTGCAGCGACTCAATGTGTTGAATTTTCCGATTCGGATGGGGGACATGGTGACGACAGCGCGCAGCCGGGGGACTCCCGGGGCGCTATGTCTCTCGACTGGGCTGACCAGCCCAATCCTGCGTTCCCCGAAGAGGACATCTTCGCGGGTGTTCCGCCGTTCGCTGATGAACCGGCCGGTTCTGGCGACGATGACGACGCGGGTCTTCTGGGCGTTTCAGAGGACGAGGAGGCCATCCCGCCCTCTGGCGCTCCCCAGATTCACACTCCCGCGACCGTACCCCAGTCCATCCTCCTAGATGTGTGTGAGCGAGCGGCCGCTCGCCTCAACATCGAATGGCCAGCTCCACAGAGTGCCACCGACCAGGAGAGGGACATTTATGACGGGAAGTTGCTGGGGCCTCCACCAGGCCCGAGGAAACAACTTTTTCCCGTCCTCCCAGCGTGTGCGAAGCACATGAAGCACTACTGGGGCGACCCGCTCAACCTTAAACAAGGTCTCGCGGGTCTGGAGGTAAAGGATATGGCATCGATCGGCATGGGTGACCCACCCGTTATCGAGCCATCAATCGCTCGACACCTCAGCCCCATTCAGGGCGGGCTACTTGCCCCCCCGAAACCGGTCCTGCCAAACAAAATGGACCGCTTTTCTGCCTCTGTTCACCAGGCCGCCTATAGGTCCTCAGCCGTAACTGTGAGGGCTCTTAATGTCTCCTCGCTCCTCTCCGCTTACCAGGCGGAGCTGTTGGATGACTTGGGACAGCAACTGGACAAGGGAACCCCTTCCCCATCACTGTGGAAGGAGATTCTCACAGTTAACGACCTCGTTCTCCGTAACGCACGTCAGGCCGTCCAAGCCTGCGGGCGTTCCATGGCGCTTTCGGTGGTAGGAGAGCGCGCGCTCTGGTTGAATCTGTCGGGCCTCCCTGACAGTGAAAAGAGGCGGATTGCGGGCGCCCCAGTAGAGCCCGGACAGGCTCTCTTTGGCCCCGCTGTTGCATTAATGCAACAACGCTGCGACGACAAAAAGAAGGAGGATGAAGCCTTCAAATTATGTCTTCCTAGGAAAGCGGCTCCACGCCAGGTGCCCCCAGCGCGCGCCCCTATTCCCCCTGCCACAGGGCGGAATTTTCATCAGGGCAAGGATAAACCTCGCACCAGACCCCCTCCGCGACAGGGCAACCATCCTTCCGCAAAACCTTGGGGAAGAACAACGCCCGCTGCCGCGGGAAAACCCCCTGCCCAAACCCCCTCGGATCCGAAACGCAAGCGGCCGGCCTGATGTTCAGCCAATGGGGGCGCCGAGTCTGTGTTCACGGGCCACAAGCCCTACAGACTATTTTCCTGCCCCAGAGCTTCTGTCCAAAAGACGGAGAATAGCTCAAAAGGAGGTCGTCCACCCCATGTGTTCAGTGGACGTTGTGTGTTCTCGCCCCAGGTTCAAGGGGTCTGTTGTGAGGAAAAGTGTTCAAGCAGTGTCACCACACCGTTCAAACTTTGTTCCCCTCACTCAAATAAAGGCTTCGGCCCATGTGTTCCCAAACACAAAACACACAAAATACACCTCAAAACAAACGAATCAAATGAATTCGTTCCCAAAAGAACACATTTCTGTGAACCCCTGCATGTCACCCCTAGTTTGTCCACTAGAGGGCGCCATTGCACCAGAAATGAACAAACCGGCCGAATTTGCAGTAAGCAGTTCTCCGGTGTGTGTGGGGTCACTTGCGAATCAGGTAACAGCCTGGCAGTCTGTGTCAGCACCCGAATGGGTAATTCACACAATAACCAGGGGATACAGGCTTCAGTTTGCCAAAAGACCCCCGCGTTTCAACGGAGTTCTCTCTTCTCAAACAGAAGAGAGCTCTGCTCACATTCTGAAAGACGAAATCTCCTCTCTTCTGCAGAAGGGGGCGGTTCGAGTGGTACCCCCGCACCTGATCGGGCAGGGGTTTTACTCTCGTTATTTCCTAGTTCCAAAGAAAGACGGCTCTCTTCGTCCTATTTTGGATCTCAGAGTGTTGAACAAACATTTGAGGAAATACAGCTTCAGAATGTTAACACACGGTTCTCTCTTACGCTCAGTAAATCAGAACGATTGGTTCACATCGATCGATCTGAAAGATGCTTTCTTCCACATAAGCATCTATCCTCCGCACATGAAATTTCTCCGTTTCGCTTACCAGGGCGTTTGCTACGAGTTCACAGTTCTTCCGTTCGGGCTCTCACTAAGCCCGAGGACGTTCTGTCTGTGTGCGGAGGCAGGGCTTGCGCCGCTGAGAACAGCTGGTCTCAAGATCCTGACATACATAGACGATTGGCTGATCATAGCCGATTCGCGAGAGAAAGTAATTCAAAATACGTTCCGTGTGCTCACTCACATCAAAGCACTCGGTTTCCGGGTGAATGTGAGCAAAAGCAGTTTCACTCCATCCCAAAATGTGACTTTTCTGGGACTGGAGCTGAATTCAATTACGATGCGCGCGCGCCTGTCGCAAGAGCGCATTCTCTCTCTTCTGAATTGTCTCTCACAATTCAGGGAAGGAGCAAGGGTACAGTATCGTACATGTCTCAGACTACAAGGTCTCATGGCCTCGGCTATTCATGTCCTGCCACTAGGCCTTTTGAGAATGAGGGCGTTCATGAAGTGGGTTTTATCTCTTCATCTCAGCCCGTTATGCGATCTCTCCCTGTATGTCACAGTCTCGCGCTCGTGCACAACAGCGCTGCGCCACTGGAGGAACGCAGAGTTTTACGCTCATGGGAGCCCCCTCGGGGCTGTCATGATGCGCAAAGTGGTAACGACAGATGCCTCGCTGACAGGGTGGGGCGCCACACAGGAGGGCAGGATAGTGAACGGCGTGTGGTCCCACACACTTCACTCAGCCCACATAAATTATTTGGAGCTTCTCACTGTGTGGAAAGCTCTAAAACATTTTCTGCCCCGCCTGCAGGGGCATCATGTGCTAGTGCGGTGCGACAACACTACAGCTGTAGCACATATCAACCGCCAAGGGGGGATGCGATCCTCCAAGCTCCACGCCTTAGCTCACCAGCTTTTAGTATGGAGCAGGCAACATTTTCTGTCGTTACGGGCAACCCATGTCCCAGGCGTTCTGAACAGGGGTGCAGACCTTTTGTCAAGGGGGAACCCACTCTACGGGGAGTGGCGTCTCCATCCTCAAATAGTGGGCCTGCTTTGGAAGAGATTCGGCCAGGCAGACGTCGATCTCTTCGCCTCGCGCGAAAACGCCCATTGTCCTATGTTCTTCTCGCTACAGGACGAGGATGCCCCCCTCGGCGTGGACGCACTGGCGCATCCATGGCCCAATGTGCTGCTCTATGCGTTCCCTCCTCTTTGCCTAATAACCCCAACCCTATTCAGGGTGAAGGAACAAGGCTTGAGACTGATCCTGATAGCACCGAGGTGGCCCAGGGCTCCATGGCTGCAGAGATAATCCCTCTTCTGCATGCACAGCCATGGCCCCTCCCATTACGTACGGACCTTCTGTCCCAAGCGAATGGGGAAATCTACCACCCTCGTCCAGACAGGGTGGCTCTCTGGGCTTGGCCCGTGAAAGGGCAAACCTAAATACACTGGGGCTTTCTCCACGTGTTATTGCAACTATTCAGAACGCTAGAGCCTCCTCCACACGGTCCCTTTATGACTGCAAGTGGCGCGTGTTTGAGGAATGGTGTGAGGAGCGCAGACTGATTTCATAACAGTGCTCAGTCGCTGATATTTTGGGCTTTCTGCAAGGCCTTATGGACTGTGGAAAATCATTTTCTACAATCAAGGTCTATCTAGCAGCCATCACTGCATGTCATGTAGGGTTTGATGGCAGCACGGCTGGGCAACACCCTCTTATTCGTAGATTTATGAAGGGTGCCCGTCGTTCCCTTCCAGTCACTAGAAGAGTTGTTCCTGAGTGGGACCTCTCCATGGTGCTGGATGCTTTGACTCACCATCCTTTTGAGACCCTAGAGGCTATTTCTCTGAAGCATCTGTCTTTCAAGACAGCTCTGCTGCTGGCCTTGGCTTCAGCTAAACGTGTCAGTGATCTACATGCACTCTCTGTTCACCCCTCGTGCATTAAATTCTCCCTCAGTGGAGAAAAAGTTTCTCTCAGGCCTAACCCGGCCTTTATGCCAAAATGCTTCCCTAATTTTTCTTGTGAGGGGGTAGAGCTTTCCGCTTTTCACCCGCCTCCATTCTCCTCCACGGAGGATCAGAGGCTTAATGCTTTATGTCCTGTTCGAGCTCTGCGGGCCTATATCAACAGGACCAGCTCTTTTAGAAGAAGTGACCAACTCTTCATTTCTTGGGCCCCCCCAAACAGGGGGAATCCCATTTCTAAACAACGCCTCTCTCATTGGCTTGTGGAAGCCATCTCTCTGGCATATGAATCTAAGGGAGTGCGGCCTCCAGGGGGCCTCAGAGCACATTCCACTAGAGGCATGGCTGCTTCTTGGGCTCTATTTAGAGGGGTTTCCTTGCAGGACATTTGTGCCGCTGCAAGCTGGGCCTCTCCACATACATTTGTCAGATACTACCGTCTTGATGTTACTCAGACTCCGGTAGCTCATTCTGTCTTAGGTGTGGGCTCTTCGTAGCCCTGTGCCGTATGCTTTTTACAACTTTTTGAGCCTAGTTGGTCTAACTTGGCTTAAATTTGTCCCCAGTGTTATCATACCCTCACCTGACACAAATTATATACATTTTATATGTACAAATACATATATTGTATATATATATACATATATATATATATATATATATATATATATATATATATATATATATATATATATATATATATATATATATATATATATATATCCTTATATATATATATCCTTAAACGCATGTTACCACATGCTTTGTGACGTGTCATGCACCGCCTTTCAGGAGACCGTCCGCTGGCTTGGTGGGCCTCGCTGTGAGTGTATTGGGCAACCGGGGAGCTGTCCATATCTCCCATAGGTGGATCTCGAACACGAGATGATGAAAGAGAACAATAGGTTACTGTCGTAACCCCGGTTCTCTGAAACATCGAGTGGAGAGATCCACCAAGTTTGCCCCGCTTGCTGCACGAGAAGCGAATATGCTCACTGAGGAATAGCAGCGCGTGCAGAATGATTTATGCGCACAGGTAAAGGGGCGGTTCTTTACCTGCCATTGGGCACGCGCTTCTGTCTGTCAAGCCAGACTTGGTGCAATTGGATGCTTCTGCAGAGGTCAGGCACGGATGCCTTCCCATAGGTGGATCTCTCCACTCGATGTTTCAGAGAACCGGGGTTACGACAGTAACCTATTGTTTTGACCACTTCCAGCCTGGTCTTAGCTAGCCAGGCTGGGAGCCCAGCCAAAACCAGCTATGTCCAGCTTAAACCAGGCTGGTCAAGCTGGTTTTAGCTGGTAATTTTCCAGCCTGACCAGCTAGGACCAGGCTGGAAATGGCTGGGAACCAGTCTGGAAGTGGCCAAAACAACTCTAAAACCAGGCTGATCCACCAGCTAAAACCAGCCAACTATACTAATAAAGTGTATTACTGTAGCCTATAGGCAAATTACTGGTTTGTAAACATCCAGAATGCTTTTCTGCACATAAAGGTTGCAGAAAAAACCAGGAGCGCAAGCATTTTCAGCGAGGGAATGACATCCAATGCGGTAAGTACAGAGTTGTTGTTGTCTTAGAGATAAGTTATACTGATTACATGTTTTATATATTATTTGCATAATACTTTCAGCATATTATAACAGCTTGTTACCAAGTGATAAGCACAGTTTTTCTGCAAAATTAACGTTAAAGTGAGCGGCGTTCGTCTGACAGGCCCGTTTGCAATAGCAAATAAGACGAAATGGCTAAGCATCCATCCCGAAATACACAACTATCTCAATGAAACTCCAAGTAATTTTACAAGAGAGAAGTAAAAAGCTTAAAAGTCTTCGGATGCCAACAAGTTTGTTCTGTGTGGTCATGTGCAAGAAATAATGTCCCATGATTACCAGATTCAAAACTGTGTAGTGCTAAAAACCAAGGTTCTGCCTAGCCAAAGACAAGAAAAGAAGACCACAGGAACTGGGTAATCATCAACAAGCAAAAAAACTACATTCTGACATTGAACTGCACCTGTACGGCAGAGTATGTGAACTTACATTTGAACATTTCATTCTTAGCATTCAGTGTCCGCAGTTTAATTAGCTATAATTAACTGCCAGCTATAAGTGCTGTGCATGTAAACCTCACTCCTCTGACCTCTAAAGATGCTCTAGTGACAGACACTGGAGGCTATGGTCTTTAGCCTCCTTGGTAGAGCAACCGACTCCAAAGTGGAAGGTTACTGATTCGATACCAGCTCGGAGTGGGTTGGGTGTAGGACCAGCAGGGTTACATGCGGTTGAACCTGTGTGGCGAAGGTTGGTAATTCCTCTATATAGGCTACCCTATAGTTGTGTAAAACTTACTAGGTCAATTGTTTATATTAGCTATATGTGTTACCATAGCTGAAAAATTAACATTATAATTCAAGTAGCTTACTACAGTATGATTTTAAAACTCTATAGTTTTTACTATACTTTAATATTTTTATTTTGTCCTCTGTGTACTGTATGCTACATTTTTGTAGCTGCCATTAATCTCTACAGAATGTCCGGCAAATCTGTTAGCCTTATTAAATTATGTTTGAGTAAGATATCGACCACATGAACAAATACTATAGTGTTAGTAATTTGATAGTGATTTGAGTTGTAATACCACAACTAATGCAACCAAATTACCCAATATTGTACTTATAATACAGCTATACATTATACTAATATACACCACAGTTTACTGTAGTAAAAGTATACTATTTATTACAGTTGATCAGTTCACAAATATTATAGTATGATGTATATTCTATGTGTAAAGTGAAAGGTTGCATAATATACTTTAAAGTTGATTAGTAGATGAAATTGTGCTAGTTAACAAGCAAAAAAAAAAGTAAATAAATCAAACATTCTGTTGACGGATGACGCAGTTACCTGTCCATTGAAATGAGGACAGTCACATGACTGTCAGGATCAGCGAGGCTTTACAAACCTGCAACAAAAAAACAAAAAACTAATCTAAAGAAGAGCATGTCAGAAACAATGGAGTCAGTGATGCAGAAGCTCTGCTGAGCCAGAGATACAGAGCAGTGAATGAAACGCAGCTGAGAGACACTGGTTACTGCATACAGCCGCTCTGATACACACAGACACTCACAATCTACAGCTAATATGGCTGCAAATTCAGTGTATGATTTCACTGTGGAGACCCTGGAGGAAAAAAGCGTCTCGCTCGACATCTTCAGAGGAAAAGTTCTGCTCATCATGAACGTGGCCACCTTCTGAGGGTCCACCATTGAAGAGGTGAGCTTGAGTAATGGGCTGCTTTTAATATGCACTTGAATGAATCACAATGTTCACTGAATCACTGTTTGTGAACTTTAAATTTAATTAAATTTTTCAGTATATTTTTTCCACACATTAACTGGATATATGCTGGATATTTTTCAAGATGCTAGTATTCAGCTTAAAGTGACATTTAAAGGCTTAACTAGGTTAATTAGGCAAGTTGGGGTAATTAGGCAAGTCATTGTATAACAATGTAAGTGCTGTGGGTGAATTGGGTAAACAAAATTGGCAATGTGTGAATGCAAGTGTGTATTAGTGTTTCCCAGCACTGGGTTGCAGCTGGAAAGGCATCCGCTGCATAAAACATGCTGGAATAGTTGGCGGTTCATTCCACTGTTGCGACTCCTGATAAAAAAGGGACTAAGCTGAAGGAAAATTAATGAATGAATAATCTTTGAGAAGAATACTCGAAGTAGTAAAGCATTACTTTGCTACAGCAATCCACATGTATTAAAATATATTTTAGAGGCTATATACAAGTCAAAAATCACCAAACTGCCCAGACTATACATTAGAATATGTTGATGACTTTTTGATGTCTTTTTTTGTCTTTAATTCTGACTTTACTCCTGTAAAACATTAAGATTTAGTCCATTTGTTTAGAGATCTAACACCTATTTGAACATGGCAAGAAAGAAATTATACATTTGCTTTGATATTTTATTTAAAAAATATTTAAAATAAATATTTTTTACTTATTTAAACATGTAATGGTAAAAGCATAAATTATTACACTGGAGGACAACTTTACAATTTGCGACATATTTTAGCCTTTCATTTTTGTGGACAAAATAGCCCTTCTTTTGCTTTGTATTAAAGGTAATTGGTCATGTTTTACAATAAGGTTTCATTAGTTAATGCATTTACAAACTAATTACGAACAATACTTGTACAGCATTTATTAAACATAGTTCAACATGTATTAATACATTATTAACATCCAAATGCATGCTTGTTAACGACAGTTGCACCAGGAGGTTAAAACAAACTAACTAACTTTATTTTCATTAACCAACGATAACTAACATGAGCAAATACTGTATTAAACATATTGTTCATTGTTTGTTCATGTTAATAAATGCATTAGCTCACATTAACTAATCCAAAATTATTGAAAAGTGTAATATGATGTGGACAGCGGATGTTTACAGTACGTGAATAATGACAATAATCAACCCAAGCTCATTCTGAAAACGTAGTCCCGCGGACGTTTCTGGAGACAGCGGAATACGCCCGGGGGGTGCGTACGGCTGCGTTTATTTTTTTCAAGCGAACACTGCGGGGCGGTGTGACGCTGTTACCTTTCGCGCTTGCCTTACTTCCTTGTGGAGGTCTTCCCCGCTCAACCCGTTTGTCCACTCAGCTCACCGTGTACATCGGCAGGCTCGATATGCAGAGAGGAGTCGATCACGGCGATAGATTTCGAGTCCGGGGAAGAGCGGTTCCAGCAATCAGGTAAAACAAAAACAGAATCCCAAAAATTAAGTGAACGAGTTTCGTAACAGGGTGAGAACACGGTGAAATCCCAAAACGGGGTAGAAAAAAAAAAATCAGGGTTTTTATTTTTTTGGAAACACTTTTGTAAACTGTTGCTCGGGTTTAGGGAAGCGAGCAGGCAGGCGGGTTGATCGGTAAAATTGGTTGGGTTCAGGGAAGGAGGAGGGTGAGTCGGCCGATTGGCCGGTCGCGCAGTCAATCATCCGGTCAGTCGGACAGCGGCCTCAGGTGGGTTCACGCGAGAACAGCGCGGGCGCGAACCACTCTCGCGATAGGCGTCTGAGGTGTGAAAAAGCGCACAACAGCGGCCTCTCACGGATTCGCAAAAACAAAAACTGCAGCCGTACGTACCTGCCGGGACGTATTCCACGGTCTCCAGAAACGTCCGCCGGACTACGTTTCCACAATGAGCCCGGGTTGGCAATAATGTAAATGCTGTGTTCAGTATCACAGGATGAATGCACTCATGGACATGTATGGAGGACAGCGCTTCACTGTACTTGGTTTCCCCTGCAATCAGTTTGGACTTCAGTCTCCTGGTGAGATGTGCACTGAACAGACAACACACTCCATATACAGTACAACCTATCCTTATTTTAATCTGAATAAGGGGTAGTTGCATATCTGTACAATGGTGCTGTAAATCCAATTCAAAGACCTGAATAATGATCTCCACTATAAAAGAATCCTGAAATAAAATATGTATTATTGATTTGTACACTTGGTACACGCTTGAATAGTCATAGCTCAGGTAGCAAAGAATTCTGGCCCAGATTTGGCATAAAGCTGGCACAGCAGGCTGAGGTGGCACCGTCTTACAGGCAGCACTCAAGACTTGGGCCAGATATCAAATGTAGTATTTGGCCCAGATGTTAAAAATGTATGCGGGCCACGTAAGTTTGGCCTATCTTGACCCACTTTTAAAATACATTGAAATTATTTTTGAGTGCAGAAAAAGATTTATTAATCAGGTCGCTTCAAGAAAAAGCACAGCCATAAAGCGAAATGCTTCACAGGTTTATAAAAAAAAAATTGCAGTCATGACACCTGTCAGGATTACCAGAGATCGTATTCCACTAGATCGCTGGTTCTCACTCACAACAGACCATGGACTACACTTCCGCCTTTTCCTGGACTACATATTCAGACATGCACTTCGCCTACACCCATGCTCACTCATCTAGATTGATTACACTCGCAACACCTGTGTACTATCAGAGACTGATTGCATTCACTACATAAGCCACTCATTCTTCCTTTCAGTTTGCCGAGTCTTGTTCACTGTAGAAATGACACTCACAACAGAAGGTAGGATCCAAAAATGCAGGTTTAATCGTCGTCAGGCAAGCAAAGGTCAACAGGTATAAACAGATATGTTCAGGCAGTCCAGAATCATAATCAAAAAGGCAGGCGGCAGGCAAGGAGAACAAGAGTACAAAGCTAAGTCAAAAACACAGGAAAACAAGACAGGATTAACGCGTTGTAATGTCATCTATACATAGAACAAGACTCGGCAAACTGAAAGGGTGAATGAGTGGCTTATGTAGTGAATGCAATCAGTCTCTGATAGGCCACAGGTGTTGCGAGTGTAATCAATCTAGATGAGTGAGCATGGGTGTAGGCGAAGTGCATGTCTGAATATGTAGTCCAGGAAAAGGCGGAAGTGTAGTCCATGGTCTGTTGTGAGTGAGAACCAGCGATCTAGTGGAATACGATCGCTGGTGATCGTGACAACACCAACATGTCAGTTCAGGCCCAGTTATGGGTTATTATCTTGGCCCAGATATGGTCCATGTTTGCCTCTTGTCTGGAAGCCAGATTTGGTCCAGTCATGTACCGTAATTCACTGCGGCATGTGGGCCAAAAACAATTGCTGATGGTGTGGGCCAGAATTAGGCCGGAGAACATTAGTTATGGGGGAGGTTATTATCTGAGTGCTGTAATAATGCTCTCTCTGTTTTTCCTCAGAGGAGAACCATGAAACCCTGAATGTTCTGCAGCATGTGAGACCAGGATCTGGTTTCCTTCCAAAGTTCCCCATTTTCAGCAGGATTGAGGTGAACGGCTCTGATGAAGATCCTCTGTACGCTTACCTGAAGGTACTGCGTTTACTGTAGCTCACTCAGACATATACTCCATTTATACTGGATATATTAGTTTGCATGAACAAAATAAAGCCTGTTTTACCGATAGAGTCAAAAAACTGCTGGTTGCCATAACCACATGTTTGGTCAAATATGGACAAAATCAACATTAGGTTACTTTTATTTTTTTGGGTGAACTATATCTTTAAAGGGCACCTAGGTTACCCCTTTTTTTCAGATTTAATATAAGTCTTTTGCGTCTCTAGAATGTGTATATAAAGTTTCAGATCAAAATACCCATCAGATTTTTCATTATACCTTTTACAAGATGCTGTTTTATACTGATTTCCAGCAGGGGGTGGTTTTGTCGTACTGCGCCTTTAAGACGTTTTTTTCCCGCCACTTTCTCGCCCACTACATGCCTCCTCCCTCAGCTGCGTCAGACAACAGACAGACTTAAAAGAAGAAGGTCTCACGTAGCGTTTGTGAGAAATACTACAGTAAGAACTAACCTTTACTAATCAGTATTGTGAAGTTGCATTGATGAGTCACACAAAATATTGTTACAAAGTTAACGCACGCGCACACACACACACACACCACAGATGACACACACACACACACAAGCAGGCAGACAGAGCGCGCTTAGCTTAGTTAAGGCTAACCTCAAGTACTGTGTGGATATCTGTTATGCTAATGTACAAAATAAACCTGATTTAACTTCCACAAACTGGGATTGAAACGTCTTCCTTTATAATTGTTCTGACACGCGACTGTGCTGATGAAGTAAAGCTGAAGTAAAACGCTGTAATTAATTAAACACATACTCTGTTTTAAAACATTTTAAACATGTGAAACTCACTCTTGATCACATTTGATGATGACTGCTGATCCTAGCGAACAGAACAGACCTTTTATTCCCGGTTGCTTTGCGTATGTCTGTCTGGTCTTGTTGACATATACACGTGACTACCGGAACATGTTAATGCGCGCAGCTGTCAATCAATTCGGTGGGCGGGGGGATCGCACTCCTACATAATGGTGCGATCGATTTGAAAACAGCTCCAATTAGCCGACCCTTTTTTTTGTAGTTAAATTGAAAAAAAAGGACTGGGTGTGTTCATATCACCCCAGTATGACGGTCTATACACTATACCAACACACAGATCTGTCCAAACAGCTTGAAAAGTAGATTTTTTACCATAGGTGCCCTTTAAATGTGTTTTTTAAAAGTGGTCTGGAAGCAGTTGCAATCTGAGCTGCACGCAATGCTTTTTAATGCGCACACCTAAGCCCACCTCTCACACTGACGTCTCTTTGGCTCTCGGTGAGGAGTTTGGGTTCGGGGGAACCCAACTGTCCTGCGGGGATGTTCGCAGCTGGAGTGATGATGGAAAGGTGGGAGACGTGGCGCGTTGTGTGCCTGGCCGCTCTGTCACTGGAGGATATTAAAGATATCTATCTATTCAGAACTTTGATTACAGGGTTTCTGCTGATGGGCTTAGGCGGGGTAAAAGCGATTGCTAAAAGCAGTCAATGTGGCTCAAAACCCCACCAAGCTGGCCAGCTGGATTGAAACGGTGGTAAGCAGTGTTGTTGGTACTCAGACTGTGGCCTTAGACTGCAAATTGGAAAACATCGGGGAGAAACTAGAGGTGTTGCAATGGGATTTAGTCAGACCTGGAGACCAGTGACGGACATTAGGTATCTGCTAAAATTTGCAGAAATTGACCCAAGTTTGAAAACCTTTTCTTCTGTTTTGACGTCCCTGTAACTCTCCTGCCAAAAGGCTTCGTCTGGAGATACAATTTCCCCGTAGAGCAAGAAAAAGAGATGCTCAAAATTCCTGCTCCCTGTTCCAAGGACACCTGTGAGACTCTACTGGCTTACACACACACACATAGACAGCTACAGATAGACAATCACTACCTAACCCCCAAATCCCACGCCTTCATGTGCTTCACTTACCGGTGTGGTTAGGCAGGTCTGTGACCAGCACCCCTTGGTTGCAGGATAGGATGGCTGCCGCCTTTATCAGATTATGTCCACATCCCCTGTTTCCATCCCCTGTTGCGATGTCTATGTGTTTATGTGCTTGTGCTGGGGCTTTTTTTCCCTCTGAACTCACAACGAGCCCTACTTCAACGGCAGTCCAAGAGGGGATATTTTTTCACCTCCCTTTTCCCTAATGCATCTTATTTCCTCTTTCTAAAAGCTACCTCTCGTCTGACTTGTGTTCCCCTGAAATATGTGGTGTTTGTGTATAGCCTGGGGGGTCTAAATTGACTGCATGTAAAAGTGTATGTTTTACATAAAAAAAGTGCAGGTTATCAAGTAGCTCCATTGACTGCATTTGACGGCATTGTGTCATTGCATCTCTGAGATGTGGTGTATTATGTTGGCTGAAGCCTGTACTTCCAGTAATGGGTTGCAGTTTTAAAAAACACAAAGGATAGACGTTTATTTTTAGTACATTATTATTACCCAAAACACACTGTAAATCAGCTGAAAGGCAATAAGTAATATAGCAATTTTAAAACCACTGTAATGATTTCAACACTCTCATTCTTGCAGGAAAGTCTTCCGTTTGTCAATCCTGTCATTGGAGACATCAGGAAACTCTACTGGTCTCCCATTAAAGCCAATGATGTCCGCTGGAACTTTGAGAAGTTTCTCATCACCGCAGACGGACGTCCTTACAAACGGTACTATTGTGAAACTGACATGCAACATAAAACAAACATCGAACTATATTTGACCCTGCACACTCAGAATTAAAGGTACAAAAGCTGTCCCTGAGGTGGGACCTTTTCAAAAGGTACATTTTTGTACTTTTTAGGTATTAATATGTACGTTTAAGCCAGGCAGCACAGTGCCTCAGTGGTTGGCAATGTTGCCTCAGAGCAAGAAGGTCGCTGGTTTGAGTCCCGAGTTTGCATGTTCTCCCCGTGTTGGCGTCGGTTTCCTCCGGCTGCTCCGGTTTCCCCCTCAGTGCTATGGGGGAATCAACTAAATTGTCTGTAGTGTGTGTGTGTGTGTGTGTGTGTGTGTGTGTGTGTGTGTGTGTGTGTCTGTGTGTTTGTGTGTGTGAATGTGTGTGTATGGGTGTTTCCCAATACTGGGTTGTGGCTGACAGGGCAAAAAGCATATGTAAAAAAGTTATGTGTAAAACATGCTGAATAGTTGGTGGTTCATTCCTCTGGGGCAACCTCTGAAAACGAGACTAATCTGAAGGAAAATTAATGAATAAATAAATGAATGATGAACGTACTGAACATTTAAGGTACAACATGAACCCTTTAGATGTTTTAGAATTTTTTTTCCTCAGGCCTATCTAACTTAAATAGCCAACACATCAATTACCTGTGTTTTATAGCCATAAACAATACAGTAGCCTCACAGTTGATGATTTCTGTACTTATTTGTAAATACATGCTATTTATTTTTAGTTAAATTAGTCAACAATGACCATATTGCTCAAATTATCTATATATAATTTTGATGTAATTAAACAATCCACTTATTATCCACTAATTTAAACGTCCTTGTGTCCTCTTGTGATGATATGTATGCACCTTGACCTACTATAAACCACAAATTATTCCTTATAAATAAATCTCATTCTGATTCTGATTTAAGACATGCTAATAATATAATTTTAAGGTACCAATACCAAAAAGTAGGCCTTTGAGTACAAATGTGTCATGTACTTTTTTAAAGGCTACTTTGCCAGTGACAGCTTTTGTATCTTCATTTCTGAGAGTGTGGATTACAAAACTTAAGTAAAATAAGTTGCCAACTCATTCATTTTCTTTTCGGCTTAGTCCCTTTTTTTTATTTTGGGTCGCCTCAGCGAAATAAACCGCCAACTTATCATACAGCGGATGCACTTCCAGCTGCAACACATCACCCAACACCAGGGGCGCTGCTAGGGGGTGGTGAGTGATAGGGTTAGGACAATTCTAAGGGCCCATTCATTTATTGTGGCCCCAGAGACATTATCAAGGGTCTGTGCCAATCCACCAGCCCCCCACCCCCCGCTCTTCTCTTTATTCCGCGATCATTCTCATTCACACACATACACTACGGACAATTTAGCCTACCAAATTTACCTATAGTGCATGTCTTTTAACTTGTGGGGTAAACCAGAGCACCCAGAGGAAACGCAGGCTAACACAGGGAGAACAAGCAAACTCCACACAGAAATGCCAACTGACCCAGCCAGCTCTCGAACCAGCAACCTTCTTGCTGTGAAGCCATAGTGTTAACCACTGAGTCACTGGGAAAAAAAAATATATAGATTTTTCCTTTATGCCTCAAATCTTAAACCTCTTAAGGCCCAAGGTGTTTTTTTACATGTATTTTTATTGCTCTTTGCTATTTGGGCTTATTGGAACCTAATTAGAATAAAAATCTAAGTATCATCTTTTGAAAAGATGTTCTTTTAGAGAAAAATGATGTACATTTATGTGGACTTATTTACATAAAACACTTTTCCCTGACTGTTTTGTAATGCATATTTAACATAGAACTTTTTTTGAACATGTTTTGACTATCAGAGAGTAAAAACAACATTTTTTCCCCAGTTTGGACAGTTAAAAATAGGGTTTGGGACATTTCATATGCTGGAAAACAGTTGCAGGATGACACCATATGTCTGTAACAAAATACAAAACATTCCAGTATTTTAAATAGTAGGAGCTAAAATGTGCTGTGTGGACACTCAAGCCCTATTAATGTGACATTTTGTAAATTTCATGCTGTAAATATATATTAGAAACTCATTTTTTGATTAAGAACTCCACTTAGGCAACTTTATATTACATTTTTTGAACCCTCAGTCTCCAGATTTTCTAATATTTATATCTCAGCCAAACATTGTCCAATTCCTATAGCATTTACATAAAAACATATTCAATTAAAAATAGAATACATGTGTAATAAATATAAAGGATGATGATCAGTAACTCTGCTCAATGTTTGTCTGCAGGTATGATCGTAATTGTCCGTTTGAAGATGTGGAGCGGGACGTTTCTGCACTTCTGCAGGGAAGACATGCATTATAAAACATAATATGTAGTGTATCCATAATTACCTTTATGAGGATGATTCCAGCTCGGATTCATTCAGATTAAATAACTTTCACTTTGCTTAATCCTTGCAGACCAGATCCATACATACCAGGCAGGAAAATGGCCAAAACATTATTGAATTATATGAATTATATTATACATCTAGTAAAACGAAATGCTTTATTAATAAAAAAAATAGATAATGAATAAGAAAAAAATAGGTACATTATCACAAAATACTTAAAAAATAGTTATATTGAAATGTATTATATTGAGATCTGATTAACAGAATTTAATTGTCATGAAAATAAATACAAAAAATCTCAAGGGTCCTGAAAGGCAAATTTATTTATTTATTTATTTATTTATTTATTTATTTATTTATTTATTTATTTATTTATTTATTTATTTATTTACTTATTTATTATTAACTATTTATTATTATATTATTATTTCATACTTCATAACATTATACTGTATATCCAGTATATCCAGCTGTCTGATTGTTTGTATTCATTCAAATTAAATGACCTTTTTTATTTTCATTTCATCCTTTTTTGTTTTCATTTCATCTATTTATTTAATTATTTATTTATTCTGTAGTTATTTATTTTATTTATTTAATTATTCATTTGATTATTTATTAATAATTATTTATTATTATAGTATTATTTCATACTTCATAACATTATACTGTATATCCAATATATCCAGCTGTCTGATTCATTTAAATTAAATGAGCTTCTTTTTTTATTTTCATTTAATTCATTTTCATTTTATTTTACACAATCAAGCATATGTTTTACATATTTTAGATCCATTCAGACCCATTGAAACACGATTAAAATTTTTTTATAAATATGTTGAAAAATATATATCTATGAATTGAAGTCATAGGAAAAGATCTAGGAATAGGGAAGTAAAAAAAACAAACTTATTAATTATAAATAAAATGTATTCACTGTAAAAAGCGATAAGTTACTTTCTTTAAAAAAAGTGAGTGAACTCATTGGCATAAAAGCAACAAGTTAACCTTACTTAAAGGGAGTAAACTTGTAATGTGAGACTATTTAGCTGACTTAATTTTTATAGTTATGCACATAGTTCATTCATTCAGTCATTTTCCTTCGGCTTAGTGCCTTTATTCATCAGGAGTCGCCACAGCGGAATGAACCATAGCATATGTTTCACACAGCGGATGCCCTTCCAGCTGTAATCCAGTACTGGGAAACACCCATACACACTCATTCACAGACACATTTATACACTACGGCTAATTTAGTTAATCCGTTCCCCTTTAGCGCATGTGTTTGGATTGTGGGGGAAACCAGAGCACTCAGAGGAAACCCACACCAACACGGGGACTTGAACAGCCAGGACTTGAACCAGCGACCTTCCTGCTGTGAGGCCACAGTGCTAACCACTGAGCCGCCATGTCATCCCACATAGTTCATTTACTTAATAATTAAAAGGCAATGTATTTACTCACTTTTTTAAAGTCAGCTAAACACTTTTCCCAGTTCTCTCACAAATACAATCGGTTAAAAATAATTGAGATATGAACATATAATTTGATTTATATATATATATATATATATATATATATATATATATATATATATATATATATATATATATATATATATATATATATATATATATAAATTTATACAACAGTTCTGTCTGGTTCTCAAATCTGATTGGCTGATAGCCGTGCGATATTCTGCAATATCAGAACTCCTACAGCCTCTTTACCTTTTGTGTATTACTCCGCACACATACAGCCAGCAAAAAAGCAGACACTAAAGCTCTAAGGTTTAAAAGATGCTTGCTCAACTGTTTAACTCTCAGCTTATGATTTGAATCCGGAAGAAAGTAGTTCCTCATACAACAGGGTTTTTGAGACTCTCCATGTTTGATTTTGTTTTTATATACACAATTATGCCGTCAAACTGTTGTATAAACTCAATATCACACTCGTAGCAGTGCGATGTGGCTGTATATCGGCACTGGTGGGTGCACTAAGGCACACGGCCTGCGGCCAATGATATACAGCCATATCGCACTGCTACGAGTGTGATATTGCTCATATATTTGCCCCTTTTCTTTTAATTTTTAAATACTTTTTTTTAATGAACACAATTCATTATAAGCTTCTCATATTCACAATTGTTTTATGTTGTGTTTGACACTCACTCATCTGATGTGTGTGTGTGTGTGTGGGTGTGTGTTTCTCGATGTGGCGACGCAGTGACGATCCCTCAGGAAACTCCGTCCGGCAGCTGAGAGGATCTGATGGGGACGAGTGGATCTGATCTTCAGTGCATTCAGTCAGATCTGCAGACCCGAGACGCCCAAGAAACACACACACACTGCACAACACTGATCATGTTTCCCACAATAAAGAGCATTCTGCACTACAACACATGTACTCCTATTTATTTACATGCTGATCAATGTTCAATAATATTAAACACAAGCTTTAAAAAACAACTGAAACTAAAACCTAGTTTGTTTGAATTTGATGTATCTTCACCTTTTATCTGATGTATCGCAATATTTCTAACATTAAAAAAATGTAAATAAAAAATACTATTTATTTTCAAAGAGTCATGATAACCCCCACTTTCGGTTCAGGTCTACCTCAGAATTATTTTCAAAAGATGCATCATAATGGGCGTGGAGCTCTGTAAGCAAAGGGCAGGAGTGGGCGTGGCCAGCAGGGGAGAAGGAGGGGAGTGAACAACTGTTGTCAGTTAGCGTGAGGAGATGCATGATTTTATAGGTTACAAAGTTAAAATGCAAAGAAATAAACAGTAATTTAATGCCCTGCTACTGTAACGGAGGTCAGCTAGTGTGTGCTGTGCAGTAAACCTCACTCCTCTGACGTCTAAAGGTGCTCTAGCGACAGATACTAGAGGCTATGGTCTTTAGCCTCCTTGGTAGAGCACCCGACTCCCATGCGGAAAGTCGCCGGTTTGATACCAGCTCGGAGCAGGTTGGGTGGCATTGGACTGGTGGGGTTACATTGGTGCCGTGACCCGGATGGGAGTGAGGTTTAGGGGGGTGAGTGTAACGGAGGCCAGCTAGTGTGTGCTGTGCAGGTAAACCTTACTCCTCTGACCTCTAAAGGTGCTCTAGCGACAGACGCTAGAGGCCATGGTCTTTAGCCTCCTTAGTAGAGCACCCGAAGGTGGCCGGTTCGATACCAGCTCGGAGCGGGTTGGGTGGCGTAGGTCCGGCGGGGTGACACTGCATTTGTTGTTTGTAATTTCATATACAAATAACCACAATTTATATAATTATGAAGATAATCGTGTTTATATAAACACCTTGAGGACTTTTCCCTCAATCCCCGGGTCTGAATCAGAGATCTGAATGCAGACTCAGTGCAGCAGTTCTCTTGCCCTGTCTATTTCAGCTATAAGCCCTGTTGGTAATCTGGAGGATTTAGACAAACACAGCAGCATGGCAATGTGTCTAAATGTGAATGAACTCCTGATAAAAGACAACATCCACCATTCTCGGACTGCTCTCCCGACAAAAATACTTGCTGCACATGAACAGCTTTGCTGTATCGGCCCTGACAGCATTGCGTGGAAAAAACATGCAACAAACCCCGTGGATCATGGAAAAAAAACACATATCACCCTTCATGAAAGGCTAAATACTGTGTGCAGTGGGTCCGTGGACGCGGTTTCACCCGGTCATCAACATAGGGTCTCACAGCTTGGCACTGGCAGGTCTGTCGTCTGTGTCTTGCCTTCAGAAAGCACGTGCAGTCATGAATAATTAAGAAGCCGGCTCTTCTCATAGGATAAGAAAACTCAGCTATGAATAATACTGAGAAACCGACGCGTCATCTTTGCACTTGCAGTTTTGTGCTACGTCACCGATTTTGATCCGCCCCAAGAATCATTTTAAACCGGAAGCTGAAATTAGCTGACAAAAGCTCAAAATTATCCAGTTTTCCCCACAATTAAAGCTGACAGCTGCTAACATTGTCTTGACTGATGCTCAACACACACAAATCTGTTAACGTCTTAAAAAAATACTCGAGGGTTTCGTGAGCCTTTAATACGTTTGAAATAAAATCAAAATATATCGAAATATTAAAAAAAATATTAAAATGTATTCTGATTTTATTCTACTAATATTATTTGAACTAGGATTTTCACTTATAGGTTCATTTGTGTTGGTACAATAATAATTAAAATGTACATACAACATAATACATAACAAAACAATATTAAACGTAACCTCCATGTTGATTTACACCTATGTGACTAACATTTTAAGTAATATTAATAATAGTAATAATAATAAACATTTACATTCAAAATATGTTTCAGTATACACAAACAAAAATTAGAAGTTCATAATACATAATAAAACAAATATAAAAAATACTTTGTGGGTTGTGATTATCACAACTTTAGTCTTTAAATTAAGCTTAAAAATTTGAATTCAGGTAAGTAAATAATTCAATAAATAAATAAATAAATAAATAAATAACGTTTCATAGCTTTATTTGTTAAGTAACTGAACAACCAACTACACACCTGTATGATAAAAGCCTATTGTATTTTACCTGTAATGGCCTTCCCGTCCACCAGATGTCAGTGTTGTACAGCCGTTCTAACAGCAGCGCTGCTTTGACGAGCATTTGATTTCACAAGCGGCTGCAGGTGAGAAGAGGACAGCAAATTTTTCAATTACAGACGGTAAATTTTCTTCAGTTTGATTACAGCTCTTCAGAGTCTTGTGTGTTTCTCTCCGTGTCTGCATTTGAGCAGATTTAACGATCCGCTTGTGTTTTTCACGGAAGCATTAAAAATTGCGACGCAATAAACAACACCTTATAGTTTAATAATAGTAATAGTAGTATGTTAATAATGATAATAATAATATAACGTTAGTAGAACAACAATAAACGTAGCTTAATTGTTCTCTGCTTGAAACTGACCTGCCGAAATTGACCTGATTCTACTGTAATTTAGATCAGTGTTACTCTAACGTACTGTTTATAGTCCGTCATTTCGCCATTCTCACTTTATAACTCGCAATTTCGAGTTTTTATCGGTTTACTTCTCTGTAGAAAAGGCATAATTGTTAGATATAATCTCCAAATTGCGAGTTATGTGTATAAAATGTGTATTTTAAGTTTTATATTAATATATGTGCTTTACATCAAGCTAGGCCTATTTGATTTTTAATTATGTTTATTGAGATTCATCGGACTATAATATTTACACTGGATGAAAACCCTCACAGTTCTGACTTTAAAACTCACAATTGCGAGTTCACATTTCACAATTCTGAGGGGAAAAAAAGTCAGAATTGCGATGTTAATCTGAGGTAAATCGGCGCAGTAACCTTTTAATTTTATTAGATATACGGAAACACGTTTTC